CATTCCGTCCCGTCCCTGGAGGTCGGCCGAGTAATGGGGCGGAGGGGACGTCTCTCGCTCTCGTTCTCTCTTATTCGCTTTCCATTTCTATTTCTATTTCTATTTCTCTCTCTCTCTCTCTCTCTCTCTCTCTCTCTCTCTCTCTCTCTCTCTCTCTATCTCTATCTCTCTCTCTCTCTCTCTCTCTTTCTCTCTCTCTCTCTCTCTCTCTCTCTCTCTCTCTCTCTCTCTCTCTCTCTCTCTCTCTCTTTCTCTCTAATTCTCTCTAATTTTCTCTCTCTCTCTCTCTCTCTCATTCTCTCCCCCCCCCCTTCTCACTCTCTCTCTTTCCCTTCCTCTCTTTCTATTTCTCTCTCTCTCTCTCTCTCTCTCTCTCTCTCTCTCTCTCTCTCTCTCTCTAACTCACTCACTCATTCACTCACTCTCTCTCTCTCTCTCTCTCTCTCTCTCTCTCTCTCTCTCTCTCTCTCTCTCTCTCTCTCTCTCTCTCTCTCTAATTCTCTCTCTATCTTTCTCTCTCTTATTTTCTGTCTCCAGGTAATCCAGGTTCCTTAGACTGGCAACAGTACTTCGGCACTAAATTACTAATGCCTTATGCCTTGTGCCTTGTGCTTTTGCTGATGTAAACGCCTTTCTCTGCATATCCATTTCCCTAAATGTCCTTGGGATTTTGTCTATAAGCAAAGGCTTAGGGGTTCGATAGGACATCCCCATCTACCATTTCACCAACCCGAGGTCAGAAATCTCGGGAAGTGCCCCAAAGATGCCAAGGTGGTCGAGGCGTCTTGGAAGAAGTGAGGGACGTCAGCCTTCGAGACATGGGTTGAAGACCTCCTCCTCCTCACTGATTCACGGTAACGAGGCTCCCCTGCACCACCAGAATCAACCCTGTAGACGCCTCCCCTTCCCGTGTCCCTATTCTCAGTCCTCGAAGTCCCTTTGCATCGTTTATCTGAGGAATTTTACAGGGACCTAAGCTGACCCGTCTCTGGCTCTCGTTTGATTCCAGTTGACCCATGGCTGCGCGTGACATCTGCCCCTCCTCTGCCTCTCCCCTTCTGCCCTTTCTCTGACCCCTCCTACCACCGCCACTGCCACCACCAGGAATACCCGAAGGAAGATCATCACCGTATCTCTGAGACTAATATTGACACCACTAACTCTTTGCACCGCTACCATTACTTGCGATTGACCCCAACAATAGCACATCTACCCAACACCAGCACGTGCACCCGCATACCCATTAACATAAATACCCTGACATTTGCACTTGCATTTTTACCCAGCGCTAGTACCTATTCTTTAACACCATCACTAAATTTTTGGCCTAACACCAGCATTATTACCTGCACCTAACACTAGCACTTTTATTCAAAACCAGCATTTTTATAACATAACAAGTAACATAGCAATTACATCTCAGTACATTCTGGTTGTGAATGCTTCATTTTTTTCGGAATCAGATATAATTATTCATCTCTAAAGCCTGTTGGTATAGTGATGAAAACATAAATGATGTCTTGTGGTTATGAATAACGGACAGTTAAATGGATGTAACTCGAGATCAATTTTTTAAATATTGCCTAACCTATGGCAAGCGTTAAGCGTAATGCTGTTTAGTTCAATTGACTGTTCTTGTAATGGTGAGTATAAATATAATATAGGCGTTAAACTGTGTTGAATTCGTGGCGCATAATCAAAAGATTTTA